CATTTATTGATTCAGAGTGTTCTGTAGATAATAGGCGTTTCCAGTAGTTGGACTGGCCTCAGAACCAGTTTTTCAAAAGAGCCAGGGGGAATTCCTCTTTTAATTTTACTTTTTATTTGCAACATTTTGGTATTTAAAGGAGAGAGGATTCAATGCTTCATGTTTGTAACATTGAAAATCTAGTGAAGGTAGTGAAGGCGGGCAATCTAAAATTACTTTGCTAAATTTAAGTGTAAGTAAAATGTAGACGACACCAAGAAATTAAAGAGTGCGTCTAAGAATGGTCTAAGTTTTAGATTTAAACTAACTTTTAAGTTCTTCTATTTTTATAGTGACATGTCATAATCTAGAAGACCCTGATTGCACATGAGAAATAGTAATTTGACAATGAAAGTAAGGGGTTCGGTTACCTTGACTCAGTGTATGTTCAGGAGTGTGTGCAAAGGAAGTTTATTTATGTGACTTTTTTCCATGCGTGTGATGACTGAAATATCCTTGAAGTGTGTAAAATAAGCCCTTTGAATTAATTTATCACGTTTTTATTAGAATCCTAGAGAACTAAACGTGAGATCTGATCAAGGACAAATCGCTAGCATGTCTAAAAGTTTTTAAAAAAACTAGGTCCGTGGCTCCTTCCTTTTAATTTTGAATCGTTTTAGTGCGAATGAGATTTTCATACATGCTGGTGTCTCATGTGGGATTCCTTTTAGGAATCATATTATTTCAACAATTATTCCCACTGGAAGGGGGAGAAAGGCATCTCTCCAATGAATAGGAAAGAAAACAGGCTCATGTGTGGTGACATTTTTTAATAGCAGGAAACTCTAATTTTCACTTAATTAAAGGTTCGGCAAAGGCTCCCAAATCTTAATTTAAAAGTAAAGCCGTGTGTTTGCTTCTCAAGTCCGGGTGCAGGGGAGCAAAGGAGGGAAGGCCTGTTTCGCAGTGTACTATCGTTGCCGTATTTCTGTTAAGTGATTCCCCAATCCCGGTGGAGAGATTCGTTTTCTCTGTGATGCAGTGGAAGTATGGGTCATGGATTCTTTGGACTTACTAACTTAGCGAAAGTTGCAAAGTAAAAGAAAGACTGAATTGGAATGTTCCAGGCAGGGAAGTTTGTGTAACCACCTTGGTGTGCTCATAAACTGCATCGTGGAAAATGGATCCACCAGTGGTGTTCCCCTTGCTGTCTGAAATATAAGATGGCTATCCGATTCTGGGCTCTTCGGAACAATAGGAGAAACCAAGGTCTTACCATATCTGTTAATGACCCATTGTCTTAACAGAGTAAATTCATTGGAATTGGCAATGGGGAAGTGCTGTTCGTCCCTCTGTGCATCCCTGAGGCTGGGAATTCTGCTTGAGGCCAGAATGAATGAGGATTTCAGGCATCTGAGAGGAGATTGGAAGATGCCTTCATGGTGGGAGGGGGAGGGGACCACTACGGCGCTGTCTGGGAAGGCAAAACTTTGGACCCCAGGAGGGAACAAGGTGGACTTTGGGATCCAAGCTGAGTGTAAATAGTAACAGAAGTATGTGTTAGTAAAATAAAATGTTTGGAAACACAAGTCACTGACATACTCTCTAACATAAAACTTTTAAATGAAATGTATTAGAAGGCTGAAGTTCCTTTTATTAGGAAGGGGAAGATAAAAAAACATGGAGAAAAGAAGCTGCCAGCTCAGGAACCTTCTAAGATCTCATGCTTCGAATGCATTCTCATTAAAATTATATCCAACCTCACAAAGCTGATGTGAGCCGGCTGCCAGATTTACAAATCTGGGTCTCTAATTGCACAAAATTTAAACTTGTCTTGTGCAAGGCTTGCTCTTTTTGCAGTGCAAGATTCAGCGGCAAGATGACAGAATAAGCAAAAGTGGAGGAAAATTTGCTTCTTCGGTATCGAAAAGTACTTTCTAGTCTCTTTGACCCTGGCGGTAAAATTTACTTCACTACAGAGTTCTAAAATAGAAATAATGACAATAAATATCAAATCCCAGGGAATATTGTGGGTCTTTTTTGGAGAAGGTGCGTTAAGTCAGCATATTACCAATATTTACTCCAGTTTCTGAAACCCAGCTGAAAGCCCTTGCTGTGGAGGCAGAGGAAGAGATGATTGATAGTTGCTTCAAGTATCAAAATGAGAGGATCTCATAGCCAAAACTGTTGGTTCTGAGGCGGCTTAGCCTCGTATCTCATGATAAAATTTGATTTATTTTTTGCAATTTTCTAAGACTTCTAAACACAGGTGGTTAAACAGAACGCCCCACAAGTACAGTTTCTCCCAAATACTCCATATTAACATTGTAAAACCAGAGGTAAGTCAATAAAATCATCCCAGGGGCATCTGGGTGGCTCATTTGGTTCAGTGTCTGACTCTTGGTTTCGGCTCAGGCCGTGATCTCGGGGTCGTGAGATTGAGCCCCGCGTCGGGCTCTGCAGTCAGCAGGGAGTCTGCTTGAGATTCTCTCTCCCTCTCCTTCTGCCCCTAGCCCCCACTCGTGCGAGCTCTCTCTCTCAGATAAATACATCTTTAAAATAAAATAAAATAAAATAAAATAAAATCATCCCATAAGTATGTAGACCCCACAGTAAGCTACCAGGAGACAGAGAAGGGGTTACATTTGTGTGCATATTAATAACACATTTATAACTACAGTTAGCTTCAGCATAAACATTTTCTTTGCAAAAATGAAGCATTCAATTATGTTAACTTTATTAATTTTAAGCAACCTGGGGACACATTTCTCAGTCAAAACTTCTTGATCACCTATTGCATGAGGAGCACTGGCCACAGAGAGACGTGGGGAACATGGGTTGATTTGAGACTACGAAGGCACTGGATATGTCTAGAGATTGGAAGAACAGCTGTGAATATGATGGTGGAAAGCCAGAAAATTTCAGTGTGGAGCTTACCGATCTACTTGTCTGACTCCTGATTAGTGACCCGCTTGAATTATTCTTTTTTTTTTTTTTTAAGGTTTTATTTATCTGTCAGAGAGAGAGAGGGGGAGAGAGAGAGAGAGAGAGAGAGAGCACGCACAGCAGGGGGGAGGGGCAGAGGGAGAGGATAAAGCAGACTCCCCACTGAGCAGGGAGCCGGACGCGGGACTCGATCCCAGGACTCTGGGATCATGACCTGAGCCGAAGGCAGATGCTTAGCTGACTGAGCCACCCAGACATCCCATCTCTTTTCAACTAGTCGTATTGACAACGTGTAAACAAAACTCTAGCCCTTTCCACTCCAAGTAGCTAATAGTATTCACTTCGAAAGCAGTGTCCTTGGGATAAATATCTGCAGGTGGAAATTAATGTAAGGCAAGAGGCATGCCCAGGAAGGCTGGGCAGATTGGTCTGTGGTCAGATTTGATCCAGGCTGTGAAGGTTCAGGACTCCAGCGGAGGAGGGGCATTCCAGGTCACGGAAAGGCAAGTACAGGGAGAGAGACTAGAACGTGCAGACTGTATCGGGGAGTGGCAAGTTGCTTCGTAGACTGTGTTATTGTCTGATATTCTACGCAAGACCCCTCTCAGGGAGGGCACTGGGGGAAGCCTCAGGTTATACCCTGAGGAAGTTGAAATACGGAAAGGGACTAAGGGGGGAGTGAAGCCACGTGCCACGGGATCTAGAGAGCGGTGACTTCATATGCTAACAAAAGTGGCTCATTCAATAGTGCTACCTGCTCAGACCAGGCCGGTGTGACGGTGAGCCGGGGCCCCTGCGGGGCTTCTACGTCAAGTGCTCTGATGTGCTGTTTGGGGGCCATGGCAGAGACCACCCATGCAACACACAGGGCAAGCTTCTTATCCCATCGCACAAGCCCTGATCTCTTATGGACCGACGGGAGAACTTCATTTGCAGTCTCAGCATCAGGAGTACTTGTGTGAGCCTTTGGCTGGGTGGCCCAGCTCCAGCACGTGGCCCCCACCGCCTGCCCGCTGGGCTCCCATGGTCTTAGCTCCCACCCTCTGCTCTGACCCTTGTTTCTCTTTAGCTCTATCTTTAGTATTTATTGTGCCTCTATTTCTGAGTTTTTAAAGGCCTTGTTATATTGCATATATCCTTGTAGATCACTTTAAATCTTTTTTTTTTAAACAAGGTAGAGTATAAATAAAATAGCCCATCTTACAAAAATCGTACGAAGAGTGATCTAAACCACACCGTAGGAAGATCAGAGAGTGCTTCCCGAGGGAGGAGGCATTGGAGCTGCCCCGTGCCCTGTGTTGGCTCTCTAGGCAGGGCTGGGGGGGAGTGGGTAGGGGGCTGGCGGGCAGGGCAGGGGAGTCAGGCACTGCTGGTGCTTGGAGCATTGGAAGTGTTGCCCAGGAGCTGGGTCATGTAGCATGGGACCCACAGGGCCCTCCCCGGTTTTGGAGGGACCAATCTAGACACTTATCTCAGTATCCCAAGTGTGAAGTTGCAAGGTGGGGAATGAAATGGTCTTGCAACAGGGAAGGGAGAGTGAGTGTGGTGTTCGCAGGATCCTAACGGCAATGTCTGCACCAGATGGTGGAGGCTGGGGGTGTGGGTTGTCAGAGTCACCCCACCACAGCTCTTTGAAGGAGGGGCCCTTATTGCCCCCATTTCCCGGAATATCAGGGTGAGGCTTGGGAGTGCTAAGGTCAGAGTTACACAGGTAGTAAGGACTCGCAGAATCGAGTTCCAGAACTCCCTTGGTCAGAGAGGAGGGCCCACTCCCGAAAGTGACAAGGAGGAAGCAGGGGCCAGAGGGGCAGAGACGGTGGAAGGTCAAGGCAGCAACGCTGGGCAGAGAAAGTGGAGCGCAAGTCTCATGGCTCATTCTAAATTTTCCAGTAGCCACATTAAAATTTCCAGGGGCCAATGTTTATAAAGTTTCCAGTAGCCACATTAGAAAGAAAACGAAACCGGTTAAATTAATTTTAATAATCTATTTCATGTAACACAACATGTCCAAAATATTATCATTTCAATGCAATGCATATAAATATTGGTGAGGCATTTTATATTATTACGTTTTATATTAAATCTTCAAACTCCAGTGTGGAGTTTGCACTTACAACACATCTCAGTCTGGAGTGACCATATTTCAAGGGCTCAGTGGCCACACGTGGCTAGTGGTTGTTGTATGATTAGACAGTGCAGGTTTAGAATCTTAGGCTAGGGGATCATATTTAATATAATCAGTAACCATGAAATCCATTATATAACTCGACACAGGAGTAGAATTTTGTTACTTGGTGTCTCCTTTGGATCTTACCCAGCATATCACTGTCGAGCCAGATATGATAGCAATAAAAAATTGAGTGCTAGCATGACATATTTAGTACTCAATTTGCAGTTTTCTAATTGGAGGGAAGATGTATATATAATTTCCTGTTGACTCACTACATACTTTTAAAGAACAAAGTAAATACTTTCAGGCAGAAGCTTTGCATGCCTGGTAACGCGTGGTGCTGCTTTTATTGGAATCATGCTCTGACAACTTCATGAGTAAAAATCTTCCTCGAATATTCCCTGTTTAAATATAATTCCAGGATGATGACAGATTTCTTGTTTTGCATGCAGACAGTTTCTTGAGAATAATGCAATTTATCATTTGGAAGAATAGCATTCTTGAGGTGCTGCTATCCCTGGGAAAGAAAGAACATCTGTGAGGTGGATTGCTGCAGGATTAACTTTCAAGAGCACGTATTCACACAATTTGGTAATGGCGGGTTCATCTAACAAGGCCTCTCCCTCTTTAGGTAACACTCAAGTTCATGGCAAAGTCTTACAAAGTCAGTCGTGTCGTTCATATGCTACTTGGTATTATCAACGTGCTATGTGTGATGTGTCTTTGAATAACTTAGCTCTTTACCATATGCATGCTTTAGAGTTCAGATTTAATTTAATTTTTATGCAAAGTAAAAAAAAAAAACCTCACTGTAGGTTCTTACTCATTCACATTTCCCTGAATAAGAAATTTGTTTTCAGCTCCAGTCCCTGGTCTGCAGCAAACTCCTTGTCTGTGCTCCCTTGTAAGTGGTTTGCTTTCATTATCACTAGTGCATGTTGAGAGAATTTCCCTGTCCTTGTTCTGCTGCATTGTTCCCAGTGGGCAATGCTTACTGTAAAGGAACAAACAAACAAAAAACCCAAAACTGTGTTAAGTAAAATGCATGTGGCTTTTCTCCACTCTAATCCCTATATCAAATTTAACACCTCATATGTACAGTTATTGGCAACTGAACACAAGGGACAAAGAATATTCGGATTTATTTAAAAAAAGAAACCCAAACCTCAAAACTAAGGAACAGGGCTGTGTGTTCTCGTCTATGCTGTGACCCAGCTCTGGTGGCTCGGGTGCTTCCTTGGAAGGCCATTGAGGGACAAACCAAAAAGCAAGATTATCTTTATAAATATATAAATATATAAAGATAAATCTCTTGCGTGCAGTCGGCTCCGCTATAACAAATGCAGTTTTGCAGTCGAATCCTGTTCCGTTCAACACGGAGCCTGGGCCAGCAGATGAGATCCTTCCAGAGGTAAACTGAAATTCTCTTCTGGGGCCGCCGCCTGTTCACCTGATGCCGTGGGCTGAGTTCCTCCTCCCGGTTTCCCACGGGAGTACGCATTTAATTTAAGGTCGAAATTCTATTTGGGAAGTCTGAAGCACATTAAGACTTCTTAAATAATTCACTTGGGGTTACGTTCAGTGAACATGTGTAAGTAGGAGAATGTGCGAGGCAAGTGGTCTCCGTGGAGCGTGGGTGCGAGACCACGTTGATGTAAGCCACATGCGCTTGAAGTCTTGGAGGAAAATCCGTGTCATGGCTGGCAACTAGAACTTGAGGCTGGCCTGGTGGCTCGCAAGGGAAGGTTAGTGTCCAGTTGCTTCTGTGCTGGGTCCTTGCGCCTTCATCAGGGAGGACCTTGGAGACAAAGTGCTGAATGCAGGATTGTTGCATGATGAAAGGGACAGAAAGCCAGCGGGGCTGCCTCCTACCCACCCCCAAATGCATTCCCTATCAGCTTCTCAGGTTGGGTGTTCGTGGGTGTGAAATAACCAACGTGTGGCCAACGTGTGCTCTTGGAAGCTGCAATCTTTAGTTAGACTTGGATTAATAACGACAACTGTAGAGTTTTTCCTTTCGGGCTGAACAGCTTTGGTATGCTCTAGGGCGGTGGGGATGGGTTCAGTGACATGACAAGTAACACCCCGTAGAGCCACCTCGTCAAGGATTCAGAGCATCACTAAGTGCCTCCCTCCTCCTGCTGACTCCTGGACAGACCCATGTCCCCCTCGGCACCACAGTCTCCTATCTCTCCTGCACCGGGCGGGTTTCCTTAAGCCTACGGACTTCATGGGTGTAGACGGCAGTGCCAACGACATTTCACCTGCTGTGGGCATGCACAGGGGCTAAAAGAAACAAGCCGGAGAGTCTAATGAAACCAGGCTGCAGATCTGAAGCGATTTTGGAATATCCTGCTCTGCTTTCTGTCCTGTGTCTGGTTTTCATGGAAATTTGTGTCTGGGAATGAGAGGGAATCTGAGTGGATTTGCTAGAGGCAGGTGCCTGCGTTCTTTGGTTTTGGCCATTAGGAGTCAGGTCCAAGGACCTCCTCAGAGGGGGAGGGACCCCGAGGTCTTAGGAGATTTGATGAGCAGCATGCAGTCTTTATAAGACAGTGGGGGGATTTTCGCAGACTTCCTGATTTTTGAAAATTATTCCTAAGTCTGCCCTCGTCTGGGATTTTTTAGGAAGGACAGAACACACACCCCACTTACTGTCCATGCTCCATAAATTACCCTTTGAGCTCGTCGCCATGTAATTTCTGTAGCGGGTGATGCTGGTGTACATAACTTCGGAGATGAGGAGTAAAACGACTCCATTTCTTTCTCTGGCAAGAACATGGCCAGTCCAGGTCAGGAAGACGCGAAGCAGCATCATGGCTGGCCCTGTTGGAAATACAGGCTACGTCCTGAGAGGTGGGGAATAAATTCTGGTCCACCCTAGATTAAAGAAGTCGTGGAAATGAGGATCAGCATTCGTTCTGTTTGCACTGGCAAGGGAAACAAGACTGAAAACTAGTTTTTAGTCTTTGCTCCAAGCAAGTGAAATAAGAATTGCATATCATGTATTTGAGAACGTTACATGCATGCTTCCCTTTTGGAATAAGCAAGATTCGTAACAGACTAAGGCAAGGCAAAGATTGTTGCCTTGGGTACTTAATAGGGAATGAAAAGATGTCCCGAGAAATCTTCAGTTGGTAGACACTTAAAAACTAGATTGAGGTTTTCGAGTAAGTACACTCATCGGCTACATTTGTCTCAGATCATTAGCTCTTTATTTCTGTCCTTTTTCATTTTTTTTTTTTTGTTTCTCTGGTTTTGTTTCTTATGCTCGGCACCCACTGGCTTCTAAAGCAAGACGTGATGTGTGTGTGAGCTGTTGGCAAAAGAGCCTATCAGGGTAGCATCACTCTTATAGGAATAGTGATGGGGGCATCCTAAGCAGTTGGGAATAAGTGCAGACAGCATTTGCTTGTCACTGAGGCTTTGGTGCTAAACCCCTCCAGAAGAAACAATGTTTTCTGATGCAGGTACCCTTAGCCTTAAATTAACTTAATCAACTTTTTTCCTGACCAGTCTGCTGCAGATGGATTTTTCAGACATTTTCCCCCTAATGCCCCTTCCCCCCACATGCAAATCTAATACCACACACACCCTGTTTATTTGTTTAGGAATTTTACATTATACACACACACATATATCTGCATTCAGGTATAGTCTGTACTTTAGACATGAAAAGAGTGAAGACTTTTTCTCATCCTCCGAGAACTGATTTTAGCTTCTTTGGGAGTACGCGAGCCCGTGCTTAGCTTTGAAAAAGCTTTCCTTTAAGAGAAGAGAGGGCATCTGCCCCAGAGTGTGGCCTGAAAACAGTGATCAAGAAAAAGGCAATTGACGGCTCCCTTTGTATTTCTCGGAGGGCTCCGTTAAACCTGCAAACTCCAGGACCACACACTCTTGCCACACGCGAAAAGGTGGTAGGATTCTCATCAGACTCAGGGTGGACAAGATCAGAGGGGCTGCCGAAACACCCACGCTGCAAAAACAAGCCTGCAGTGGCCAGTGGCCCCTCGCATGGTAGCCCCTGGAAAGACCGCCTTTCCTTCTGAGTCTGGGTGGGAGCAGCCCTCCAGCTTCTCCAGACAGCCTTCTCCCGTCCCCTTGGATGTATAAATGCGGGTCGTGTGGCCGATCTGGTGCAGCTGGATCACATTGACGCTAATGTTTCCCCTCCAGTAAAGATGGAAATATATTAAAAAATAAACAACCAAAAAAGACATGCTAATTTGAAACCAAAAATCAATCAGAAGAGAAAAACACTTGGGTCAGTGTCAAGAGAAACAAAACTGCTCCAGCATGAATTTTTATGAAAATGATCATTGAATAGTATTTCCATGAAAAAGCAACTGACTCAGAGACGGAGGGTGAGTGTCCCGTGAGGCAGACCAGAGTCGGAAGGGCCCGCCCACGCCCGGGGCTGACAGCCGGGCTCAAGCACAGTTACTAGAAGTGACCCAACCATCCCGAAAATAGGGAAAAAAAAAAAAAAAAAGTGCATGAGGGAAAGGCCAGATTCTTAGGAAGGGAGAGAAATGTGTGTTGTGAAACCAGCACAGCTCGGGAAGAATCTAGCGCCGCATTTGAGTTTCTCCTCCCCAGAGCAGCCCCACAAATAACACTCTTGTTCTCCCGGGGAGGGCACGGTCCCCGATTTTCTAGAAGGGCCAGCTGAGAAATGATGTTACTGGGAGGAACGAAGGCACACAGATGAAGTTTCTTACTTAAATGCTTACCTCCAGCTCGTGGTATAGGAAGTGTCACGGTATTTTCTGCTGGTACACTCCCTTCTGGAACATCACAAGGAAGCTTGCTTCCATCTGAGGCAGGAGATCCAAGTGGTTACGCGAGCATCTCCCCGCTGCCCCGCAGAACCCCGAGGCTCCCTCTGCCCCACCCCTGGCGCTGTCTGTGCCCTGGATTTGGAATGTGAAAGGTACGTTGGCGTGGATTCTTTTTGTCTTTGCTGTCTGTGTTTTAAGAGGTGCTTAACTCCCAGCAAGCACCAGCTAGTTATGAAAGCTTGCTCTCCTTAAACTTTCCCCTCTTCTTCTTTCCAAATGGCCTCTTTTTAATGTCTTACAGACAGACATGAGTTTGAGTCAGCGGTGACCCACAGTCAGAATTTTGACAATTAGCAGCAGGATGACCAAATGCTATGTCATGGTCACATGCGGCACAGATTTGGAAGTTTATGAATGCTTGCCCTTAAAAATCACTAAAAATACCTCTTCACACTACGACTCCTCACACAGTGGGTGCCACAGTAGTAAAATCGGTATCTGTTTTTTGTTTTTGTTTTTGTGTTTTTGGTGATCAGGTCACGTTAGATGACATACCACAGTGTGTGCCTAAACACTTACTTACGTGACATGTATTTATATTATAGGCTATATATCCAACCTTCTACGACTATAGCTGACACTTATTTTTGCTGTGGTTTTTCTGGGGAATTCTCTTTGAACTTAGTCATTGGGACTTTTGACTGTGGAACAGCCCAGGAACTTAGAAAACATTGATGATCCTAATGAACCGGGGTCAGTGATGACACAAAGCCCCTCCACATCTGTATCCAGAAAGAGTAAATATCAAACACTGTTTCGTTTCCTAGGTCATTTCAGACTTGTTTCCCTGCTTGGCTCTGTTTTATTCCATATGATTTCTGGGTGGCATTTTTCCTCTCCAAACCTTTTAATGGCTGTGAGCTCTTATGAGTATATGAACATATGAATATGAATATATTATATATTATATGAAAATATATAATATATGAATATGTCATATAAATAGGAATGATATTATATAATATTACATGAATATATGAATATATTATACAATATTACATAGATTGTGTGTATATTACATGATATTTTAATACATATATAACAATAATCCTGTATTGTGATAACTGCATGACCAGAGCCTAGAGAGAAGGTTAAACTGTCTCTTCCTAGACCACATTCACAGAAGTCTGAGGAGGACCCGAATTGTACTGAATTTTACTCTCCTGCTAATTACTCAGGTAGAATAAGACTGTTCTATGCTGATCTCCTTATAAGGGATTTCTAAAGACCGAGGCACCTGCTATCCCAATATAGGAAGGCTCCAAGATACTAAGAAACCACACCTAAATACAAGACAAGTGGGACTTCAGAAAAGTGCTTTTTATCCTGGAAAGTTGAAATTTTTAAGAAAATAAGATTTTTGTTATATGCAACTAATGAGTCATTGAACATTAAATCAAAAACTGATGATATATGTTGGCTAGTTGAACTTAAATTAAAAAAAAGAAAAGACTTTTAAAAGCAAAGATGTCTCCCCATTTTGTTGTGTGTGGTAATAAACGGAAGTTTCTTTTCAAGGGGCTCTTCTCCTCCGTAGGAATATTGTCATGTTGACTTGCCTAGAGAAAAGTGACCCTGCTCACTGGAGCCATAGTTTTCACTGGTCAAGAAGCCGACCACAGTCCCTGCTTTTTCATTTCTCTTTCTGGCTTGGCCCTGATGCAGTCTGGCATATCTGACCCCATGCTGGGTCCAGGGACGCCACCCAGAGAGGGGAGAGTGTGGCTGGAGACACTTGGAGGGAAGATGTCCGAGCCCGCTAACATTTGTTGAGGGGAGCAGTGCGGGGCACAGAAAGGGACCGTGTGTGGTCACACCGGTCTCCAGTGACCCCTGCCTTCCAAACCCCTTCCCCGGGCGTGGTTTCTGCGGCCACTCAGCTGCGGGTACCCCCCCTCAAGGGGATGGGGTTTGTTACCCAGCCCCTGTCCCCAGCCAACACAGGCTCCAGCCCATTGTTCTTTTCTCATATTTACTTGAAAACTCTCTGAACACATGGAATTTACATTATCCTTACATTGACCAAGAATGGTCCTGGGGGAGTGCTCACAGGATCTTGCCAGCAGCGAATGTGGCAACCACAGATGCAACGACAACACTCTCGGATACATTGTGGCCGAGCAGAATCTTCTTTTGACCTTTTGAGTGTTGTTGTTGTGGTTTGGGTATTTCAGGAGAGGACTGGATTGAATGGGTTCTTTTGACCTTCAGAACACCTAGTTTCTTGGTGGGGCGTCAAGACCTCCACTTGCCTCTTAAATAAAAGGACCAGGTACCACCGTGCTGTTGGCTGTGGCCCGTGACAAGCTTAGGAGAGGGAAGAGGTGGGTCCTCACTCTGTCCCCCTTCCCTGAATGTAGGTGAGTTCATGGAGGGCGTGCGGGCTCCCTGGGTATGTCCAGATAGATGTTTTCATTCCTCCACTTCGGGTTTTAGTCCTGAGACTGCTAATTAAGCCATCCCATAAATCCTCCGTTATAGGTAGTAAAATCTAATTTTAGATTTCCTGCTTGGGCCAGTGTCCTGCCTGATTGCTGCAAGGTTGGCGAGGGGCCGGACCCGGAGAATAGACTGTTCAAACCCGGCCGCGTGTTAAAGCGTTTTTCTCATGTGTTTGGTTGTAATGGCTTTTATCTTAAGTTTCAAAAACTGCTGAAGATAACTACTTGAAATGCTGCAGCGTGGTTCTTTTTAGTGGGCAGCTTTGACGTAAGAAATCCAAGAAGGGGTTTCGAGGAGAGAGTGGGCATTAGGTGGTTAGCGTGAAGGACGAAGGCAATGGGACCGTGCTATTGTTGCTGAGAACAGGAGACTGTCCCCTTCCAGTGGTCTGAAACTCAGCCCCTTCCTCATGTTGCAAGCTTCTTAGGAAACTGCATATTTGTTCTGAAAGTCTATTAGAACTGGTTCTTCCTCCCCACCCCTCTGTCTCTAGTGCTCCAGCATCTTCCACCAGGAATGCTGAATGGTTCAGTGGGGCTGGAATGGGAGGGATTGAGGCTGTGCTTGGGATTTCCTCACAATCATCTAGGTGCTCCCTTCAGGACCCTCAGACTTGGAAAGGTGATTTAATTTAATTTAATTAATTTAATTTAATTTTTTTTTTTTTTGAAAGGTGAATTTAGAAGGTCAGGGGGTGCAACAAAATTACAAGGATATTTTGGGTTTGAGGCAGCCGAATGTTGTTACCTGCAAAGGAAAGATGAAACCCACGGGCTGTTCTCCCCCCTCCACCCCCCAGAGACTTGGCAGGCAGTAGAGTACCCCGGGGAAAGTCTGGGAACATGTGTGTGGGTTTATTGGTTGCAGCAGGGTGGGTGTGAGCTGAAATCTGTATGAACAGTGCTAAAATGTTTAAAGCTTACAAGAGGTATGTCTAGGCATTTTGGAACTTGAGAGGGTGGTATCCGTAATACTTTGTTGTGGAAATTTTAGAACATACACATAAACAAAAACATTTAAATCTTTCCACACTCAGATGTTATGGCTACTGACAATGGTGCATTTCATTCTGGAATAGTGGTGATTCTGTTATATATACACTTTTTCCAGGAGTAGATCATATCACATACAAAGTTCGTAGAACCTGTTTTTTCTTTTCTTTTTTACTTGATAACACATTGTAAATATCTGCCCATGTCAATAAATATGTTTAATGAAATATCTTCTTTCTGCCACATTATTTTAAGACTCTTTAGGATTCCATTGTAGGGTCCTATTGTGATGGATTTAACCAGTCCTCTCCATGAAGTATTTAGACTGTTTTCCATTTTATTATAATCCCAGAGTTATCCATCTTGGCTGCAGAGTACAGATGCCCAGGCCCCATCATAGAACAATTAAATCAGGCTCTCTTGGGGGAGAGGCCTAGAAGTCAGTATTCTCACATGCCTTTAGGGTTGGAAATCATGGTTACAAACCGTGTTGCACAGTTTTCCAAAGACTAGGATACATTCCTGGAAGTAGAAATGTGTGATCAGGGCCCGTATTTTTATCTTTTGCTATACACCACCAACTTATCATTCAGAAGCTTTTTCTTTTTCAACTAATTTACACTTTAAGCTCTAAGGCTTTTAAAGGCAAAGGATGAAAAGAGTTTGCACGTGGACTTGGGGAAGAGGTCTGTATAACACCAAGGAAGCACAGTGAGCTGTTTGGCTTTCGCTGAGTTTTTTGGTATTGTGACATGACCTAAATAAACAAATGAGCATGTTCCTAAAATCATGGAGAAGAATGTATTTGGGGCCGCTTTCTCCCCGAGGAGCCTTGGTCAGACCGCGGGGCAGCTGCCACAGCCCTGGCCAGGAGCGAAGGACCTTGCTATGGGACCAAGCTTTATGCCTCTCTGGGATCCTAACCCGTCCGTAGAAATCTCCCACACAGCACCCATCAGGTGTCGAGTTTATTCACTCTGGAGGTCCCCTGTGCCTTTTATCACTTTTCTACTTTAATGGCTCTTTTTTTCCTCTCAAAATAATAACAGATGCATAAAGTGAAATGGTATTTCTGGGCTTATCATGAAAAAATGCTCATTCTCTGCCCTCCACCTTCCCTTAGCTGTTCTTGGCTCTTCTTCTGTCATTTCTCTCCATATTTATAAGTCCTGGGCTCCTGGCACTTCTTCTTGAGTTTTCAATGTGGATATTATCGATTTTCTATGAAGGACGATGGGAGTTGAGGTCCTGCCCCTCCGTCCATTTTCCGTTCCTCCGTCCTTCCCGTGTAGTTAAGCAAAAATGTCAGATTAATGTTCACTGCGAACATTATTGAAACTGTGTAAGTGTGAGAAGGCAGCCACATGATAAGCTGCGATTATATTTTGTCTTTTCCCAGATTTAATAACTGGGATTTGAGTGTTGCCTTAGTTTTTCTAGGTACTTATCAAGAGGACTGCCCTCAGCTTGCCTGTGGGGCTGGCATCTCCTCTCTGGGTGTGGGGGGGGACACATGGGGTGATCTGTCTGGGCCGAGGAGGGAAAGGAAGACGAGGACCCTTGGGGGTGCTGTGCTGGCAAGTTCCAGCCAACCTGGCTGCTTCC